TGAGTGGCATGAAACATCAGGTAATTCATAAAATAATACAGCGGTCATTATTTTACGGATGAAGAAAAGTTTCATCTTCTTTATTAAGATGCACAATAATTAGTGAGTAGGAATAATAAAATAACGACACAGAAATGTTTGCTTACAGGATGGCTGATGCGGTCGCTGTACACAAAGATTTAATAACAATGAAGAGGCTTATTTAACTAAAATAATAATTATGTAAAATAATAATTATGTAAATAGGATATGCAAAATGAAGTTAGTTAGTTTGCTCGGACATACACCAATAAAAATATTTGGATATTTTGGGAATACACCAATAAAATTACTAAAGAAAGTACGAAATTCTAATTCGAATTTATTGATCGTATACTATAAAAATAATGGTTAGTTCGTATGATACATAAGGAAATTTATTTGGATTTATAGAATTCATGAGCTGATCTCTAGAAATCCAAATCTGTGAATTAAATCAATTTTCATTCACTGAAATTCGCTATAAATAATGATAATAACCGTTGGTTGGTTGGATTTGGTAGTCTAATAAACAATCAAGAAATATAAACAAACAAAACATCAATTGAAATATAACGATAATACTAATTATTATTGTTATTTCACACAAATAAGAGAAAGGATAGATATCTGTATTAAGGTTAGATTCGCATTTAGGGGTTTCCATGATTAATAAGACTTGTGATCAACCATTCAACCCAAATCACTTAATTGTTCGAGTCACGAGATTATCTTTTACATATTTAAAAAAAATAAAAAAAATAAATACATTGTATCATTGAATCGATTTTATATTGAAAACCAAAAAATTGCTGATCTTTTTTTCGTAGTAAAAAAGAAAGACCAAAAAAAGCAACTTTCTCGGGAAAATCATCATAATCATCTTAAAAAATTGCCTATTTTGTTTTTATAGTAAAAAAGAAAAGCAAATTCTTCTATTTCATGACACGTGCTTTAACATTTAATAAATAAAGTATTATGATAGTTATTTTATTATTATGAAATAGAATAATAGGGATTGATAAAAAAAAGGCGTAAATTATAAAATGACTCGAGGTCCTGAAGCAACATCATCGGCACCGATATCTTTTTGTTGGGACCTTGAAAGTGGCTGAAAGAGCGCTAATCACTCATCATTTCTGCAGCTGTTTGTTTTATCGTTGTTGCTGCTCCGAAATCTTTTGTCGTCTGTGTACCATCTATGCTGTGTGTGTGTCAAGTATGTGTATGCGCGTGCAATTCAATGGCTTTTTTTAAAAAAAAATATGAAAATTGCCAAGATTTGATACTTTTTTTTTGTTTTCCTTATTTTTAATGATGATAGATCCCGACTTTACGAAGCCTTGCTTTACGTGTCGTTTTATGATTCATCGATCATTTGTTCTATTAATATCCATAGTTTACGGATTTAACTTGAGATTTAAAATCATCTATATTTTTTATTATGTACTGCGCGAAATTTCGAGTCTGACATTGTTTCATTATTAAGATACAATATTATTCAAAGTGATTGTTCTTTTATCTAGTTATTTTTCCTCAACTATCTAATACAGATAACAAAAATTAATAAATTTTCAGTTTGAAGTTAGATGTAATATAGATGAAACGGATGGATTATATATAAATCGAATAATGTCAAAATATGGGCTTGATTAGATAAACGCATATAATATCTTCATATAAATGCATGTAACTAAGTATGTCACGTCACGATTTTTGATGTTTGTTTTATCAAAGGAAGTATGCCAAATTTTGCGACTTGGCGGTTTTTTAATTTAGAATTGCGGCCATTCCGGATATATCATCGTTCTTTCTTTCACGTTGTATTATGGTCTAATGGTCAATTTTGATTATTCTATTTATAACCACGAAAAAACCGAAAGATTATATGTGGAATTAATTAAATCTTCAATCATTTATTCTTTCTTGGAAAAGTATTCTCTTTTATCCTTGCTTTTTTAGGTTTGCGATTAACAAATTCACTGTATCCATTTCCGAATTTGCATTATTCCGGAATTTACGCACAGCACAATTTACTAAACCTAGTAGTACTAGGAACAAATAAAGTTGTAGGTAAGTAGTGATTTACAAACAATACCTTATTTTTATTTACTAATAGTTTAATTAAGAATTATTTCCAAAAAAAGCAACCCAAAATGGCAATTATTTTTCTACCACACGCCATCACCACTCAGACACATGTATATCACTCCTGATTTATTTAAAACCGACTGACTCGGAGTTTTTTTATGCGCCTCTTTCCTTCTTCGCCGCCTCCGCCTCTCAATTAACAATATCATCGATTTCAAACAAGATGTTTTATTAAATGCCTTTTAATTGTCTTTCAACGCTAAAAATAGGAAATTATGTACATGTAGAAATGAAGTTTTCTCTTCATGTGGTTCTCTACTTTGCCACCACCACTATTATTCTTGGTATCAGCACAATAGAATTTGGATTCACAATAAATAATTATCAAACATCATACCTAATACCAATATGTGAACCCAAAACCTAAAAAAAAATAGTATCTGTGTATCAATGACTGTTACTTATCAATCTAAGCTAGCAAGCATATGCATAACTATTTGACATAACTACGTAGATATTACTAGTTTTTCTTTCTTATTTTGACATTAGAATACTTTTTATATAGGATTTATAATTATTCTCGAATAACATCCATTACTATCGCTATTATTGAAAAAAATCAATATAACATATACATATAACATACTTACATATAACATGTAACATCTATCGTATAACATATAACATATAATATATAATATATATAAATATATATATATTCAACTCAAAGAAAGAGAACGAGAACATCTACCCCACGTATAATCGTGTAAGCATGATTATGTTTACTACACGGATACCACTCACGTTTATTTCTATATTTCTATATTTCTCTCATTTGCTTGCCTGCTTATGTCTCTATGCTCGCTCTTTTAGAATTATCTTCTAGTTACCTCTTCGACCGTTTATCGGCTTTCTTATCTTATCTCTCTTATAATTTCCTTTTAGATAGATTATTTACACAATTGTTCCATTATTGTAATTATTAAGATTATAATATTGTTAGCAAGATAAAAATTATTTTTTTATTGTTATTTCTCATTATGCAAAGTAACCGCAGACATGGAGTCAGCGACCGAGAACCAGCAGCAACAAAAGGAAAAATAAAAAAATTTTCTTCTATTCTAATAATAAAATCAACAATACCATGCTAAGATGAGAACGTAACTGATAACTAGTATCAGAAAAAAAGGAAAAAGGGAGGGGACTCGGAATTCTTGGTTTTTTTTTTGTTTTAACAGGTTTAACGAGTAATAGCTGTTATTATTTTCTCTGCTAACGAATACATTCACGATAATAAAAAGTCCTCATTAGAACTATAGATTTTAATGGTAAAGGAAAATATAGACGAAAGCATAGTTTTATTGTCATCATATCACAATTATCATAATAATCAATCATCCAATCCCAATCCATCTATCTTTTAAAGCATCCATTAACTACATTTATTTATATTATCGTACTGTCTACGAATAATAATCAGTGTGTTAAACTATATCAGATATACAAATTCCTATTTTCTACGATTTCCCGATGACTATCATTTTACACATAATATATTATACCAATATGTGTATACTATAAACTATACTACTAAATATACATATAAACATATAAAATAACCCTTTTATTCAATTTCTTTGTATTATAAACAAATTGCTACTTCTATTATTACTATTGCTACTGTTAATAATAATAATAATAATAAATAATTATTTATCTAGACACATATAATATTAATATTAATATATATATATATATATATATATATATATATATATATATATATATTTAAATTACAATCGGTCTCGTCTCTTACTATTCCCTCTCACTCTCTTTTGTCCCTCTCACTCTATATAAATATCCACACACGGAACAAATCAAATTATTTGACCAATATTGAAATTATTATTATTAAACAATAATAATAATAATTGTTCACGTACTTTTACACAAGACAATTTTTGTAACGTTTTATCTTTTCGGGTTGAGAAATATTCCCATTAATTCTACCTTCATCTCACCATTGTATTTTTCGAGACTCGCTTGATTTTCTCCTCTTCTTCATATTTTCATAGTTTTTTCGCTTCCTTTTTTTCTCTTCGAGCCAGCAACAAATCAACAAAAGAACGAAATTCTCATTTCGCCGCTTCTTCTCGTTCCTATTTTCCTCAATTTCACTAACAGTCACAGAAACCAAGAAAGAAATACAAAATTTTCTGGTACTATATACACCTCTTGAATTCACTCTATTTTTGAAATAAAGCTGGCTCCATTTCATCAAAGTTCGTTCCACTTCGAGTTGCTCGGGCAACAAGACATTAATTCCATTAACAGGTTTAATACAAGCGATAACAATAACCGTAATTGATTTCTCTTTCCCATCTTCACCTTTCTCAAAATATATTTTTAAAGTGTTATTCTTCCGATCAACTTTTGAGTACAAATAAAAATATACTTTTCCCAACGAATAAGAACAATCTATTATTTCATACAAATAAAGTTTTTTTTTTAATAACCAAAAAGACGCGAAATTACTTTGACAAATAAAACACACATAATTTTGGTGAATATTTATTATACACACGCACACGGCCAACCCCCCACAAACGTATAATGTCTTGTTCAGTTATGCTCGGAGGAGAAGCACTTATGTGTATGTATATCATTATCAAATCACCAATCACAGCATTTGCAGCAGTGACAATCATCACTGTTTTTGAAGATTGACAGATTACTAACATCTATTTATATCTTTTGAATTACACATAGCCTTTACAGCTGGATCATGTGATTCCGTTCTTCAATGTTCTCAGCGTTCTTTCAAAAATGCATCTTTGCCGAACCTCCTTCACTTTATCAAAGACATCACAGTCAAATCGAAGGTGTCCAAAATGACGATGGTTGTCGGACTCATCTACGTTCATCGTCTAAAGAGAACCTTACCAGCCACGGCACGCGGTGATTTCGACACCCCATACAAGATCTTTCTATCAGCAATTCTGCTCGCCAGTAAATATCTCAGCGATCATTCATTACAGAATCGTAATATTGCCGATATCACCAACGGACTGTATTCGGTGAAAGATGTCAATACGATGGAGCGTAGCTTTCTCGGCTTGCTAAAATATGAACTTTGGGTTGACGTGGACGAAGTTAAAAAGTTTTTAGATCAACATCGTGTCGAATTAGACATTGATGTCGATTGGAGTCGTGACGAAGAAAGGTAAAAAAGAAAGTATTATTAATCGTAACAGCTGGAAGCATTTATAATGTTCTCAGCTGCTTATTGTTAACAAATACGCTCGTCTGACGGCTTTACTCTCCTCCTTAGAAACAAAGCTGAAAATATACAAATAGAACATTTTTGAATTTTTTTATTTTTCTTTGGTATATTTCTAATATACATACACGCACACTATTGTCACTCGCACACTCCAATAATAACATTGAATCGCCAAGTGTGGTCACTCACTCTAATACACACAAATCTCGCGTCCCTTTCGAATTTCGACTTTTTTTTCGCGCCTTTATTTCTCGCGTGTTTCTTCCATGTTTTCCATTTTTCTTCTTTCTTTTTTATTGGGCAACCTCTGTAATGATATACCGATTTGATTGCCCACAAATTTCTTCCATTTTCCATTTTCTAAAACTTGTTTATAGCAGCAAAGAAAATTTGCTTCGTATATATTATATATACTGTTACATACATATACATACATACATACATACATACATACATACATACATACACATACACATAAATATAGATAATTAATTACAAGAATTTATATATAGTTTCGACATAAGTTTTCTTTAACTTCATCACCATCATCAACGATCATTAAATTGATCAGAAATTACTTTTAATATACACACCTATGCTCTCTTCTTGTTTATTTTTTCTTCCCCTTTCCCTTTTAATGCACGTGCACATATAGATTCTTTATTACCATTACACTTATTTATTTATTATTTACTTAATACTTTAGACTAATTATAGAGTTTGGAATGGGATAAACGTGTAAATTTTAACGCGCGAGTTTCTTCCTCTGTGTAAATATAAAACTACCTTTTTTTTTGTTTCATATAAAATGCGCAGCTACCCAAATGAAACTTAATATCGACCTTTGCGTTTTAAAATTCTTTTTCCCTTCCCCTTAATTAATCCAAGCTCAAAATCACCATTCATCACACATCACACATAATACATGCCCATCCAAAGACTGGTATCTTTAACACGCTCGACCTTTTCAACTGTCTGCGCTTATACTTTGTATGTGTGTTTGAATCTGTAAATATAGATTTCAAAAAAGTATAGAAATTAATTGAAACAACAAAATGTATTCTTCTATTTACCCTTTACCCTTTTTTCACTCTTCCTTCGACACACACTTTTACCGACCGACCGACAGATAAAGTATTGGCCATATTTTGTTTGTTTGGTCGGTTGGGCTGGATTTTGTTTGTCTTTTTGTTTTTTATCTTCGAAATGTACGTACATATTTTTTTATTTTATTATAAATTTTTTTGTTTTTTTTTTTTGTTTTTTCTCGTTTTTTTTCGGTTTCTTTTTTAATTATTATTTTTGTTGTTTATTATTATCATTATTATTTTTTTACAATAGAATAATATAATCTTTCTTCTTTTTTTCAATCAATAATAACGCATATATAAATATGTACACGTAAAGACTAGCATTTACTTTTTAAGATTTCATATTTTTTCTCTTTCCAATAACTCACAAAATCGTTAAGTTGAAAAAATCACAAACTTCATGCTAAAAATCAACGAAATTATAAGTCATATGTATCCATGAGCAATGGTGACAATAATAATGATATTGTTACTATTCTAACGAAAATAATAAATAAAAAATAGCCGAAAATTAACGGAAAAAACACAACCGTTCGTATTGTTAATTGTTTATTGTTTATGCTGTCATGTTGTTGATCAAGAATATATCTGGTAAAGCTTAAAAAAAAACGCCAAATGAATCAACTTTTCAGTATTCCAAATCCATAATTCAATCGAAAATTCTCGAGACAAAGAAAGATATCAAAAAAATTTTCGCGTGGTCGCGCGGACACATCAGAAGGAGCTTTCCACGGATTTGAAAATATCTTCTTCATGCTTTGTTCCTTTTTCTTTGTTTTGTGAGCTCGCGTGGTTTTAAGTGACCTAAACTTAAATGATCAAATAATATATGCCTATCGCATGTCGTCGAATTTTATTTCAGCTATATATGTGTAATTCATATGTATACATAGTATCGGTTTTAATATAATTAGGTTGTGTGCATTTAGGCACGGACCACTTTAGCGATATTAGAAACTATTTCAAACTTCAACGATATGTTGTTACTTACTATTAGGAGATGTAAAATTAGGTGTAAGCATCGGTTGTTATAAAATATTGAATTAGAATTCGTTATTTTTGATTGTTTGCGTTTTCTTGCGTCTCGAAAATCGGAAAAAGCGATTTTGCCATTTATATAGCATTGATCTTGTATTTTTGAACAATAATTGAGGATGTTTTCAACACGCAAGAGCGTCTGCTTGCTCTTGATACTTTTTTTACGAAATAACAGATCTGAAAAAGGCGTCTAATACAATTTCACATGTCGATTACATAAGCTATTGCCACGGACACCACATGCGTGCACACATTGTTGATGGAGAACAATAATATACAGACGGTTTCGAACTTGTTATTTTCTTTTCTGTTGGTAAAGAGAAAAAAATATTTGTCCAGGCGCTTATACACATTTAAGAGTTTTTCCCGAATTCGTCTTTGAGTAAACACATACGTGACATTGGAAGAATGACAAAATGTTTGTTACACTTGGACCATTTAGTAATAATCACTTGTGTACATGTGACCATACTTGAACAATGAGCAACCGAGTGAGAAAGTGAGAAAGAACAGGTTTTGACAACCCAAATATTTTGTTTTCCGATCACATGTGTGAGAAATTGGCGTCAGTTACTGAAGAAAACGAGTTTTATCTATTCAGGTTACGTAGTGGTAATAACGATAAACATACAGCTGTCAATTTTTCGCTATTTGATCATTATATGCCTCTTCGGGGGATTACCACTTATTCAATCGCTCATTATTGTTTTTTATTCTTGTTACCTTTGATTCTTTATGTATTGAATTCTTTATTCGATCATCTCCCGTTTGGGGGCATTTACCACGTTTTTTTTGTTGCTTGAACAATGGCATAAGAAAGAGCAACAAGAGAAAAAATATCGCGCTTTGATGAATTTTCATTAGCAACGTAAATAGTACATGTTTAATAAGATTATTTCCTTAAGTTATAGTATTTCTTAAAGTACAAACTGACGAGAATGTGAAATCACCGATATTCTGTTTATTTTTCGATTACATTGTCTTATTAATGACGACCACAAAAACGATCAGGTGCCGATGTATTTTTCACAATAATAGTTTATTTTATTTATATATAGGATATTACTATGCAGGTAAAAACGCACAAACGCGTTCTAATCTTTTATTGATTAGCCTACGTTTTTGTGCACAACCTAATTAACTAGTTACCTAATCTATATAAATAAATTAAAAAATAGTTAATGCATTACTGCGTATTTGTGTAATGAATTTACTATTCTAATTGACTTTCGTTTATCGTATTTTTTGATTGGTTATCAAATTTAATGTATGTCGACTATTATAAAATAATAAGTGATCCATGAGTAATGTATATAAATTATATAGTAAATAATGGGGAATATTCGAATAAATGATATCAGCTGATTTTTGAGCTTACTGGCTATTGAATGCATATAGATTCATTTGAATAATCATAATATATAGAGGGTGGCCAGAAGTCACTGAACACTATAATAACTCAGCAAATCTGTATAAACTAATTATCAAACTGTTTGTTTACTAGTTGCTAAAAATTATAGTTCAAAGATTATATATAGGGTTCGGTGACTTCTGGCCACCCTCTGTAGTTGACTTTAGATGAGAGCTGAAAATAATGATTTTTAAATTCATTACATAAGACACTAGATTATGGGTCATTATCTGAAATGTACACCGAATCTATACTGGATAAAATAACGTGATCGGGGAAGAGATTTGGTGTTATTATATCGAGATGTTACTCTATCGAAAAAATAAATACTATGAAAGCTTATTATTACAGTAATGAGATCGGGAGATTTTGTGTTACCTTAAAGAGTGTTACTGTAATGAGCGCTCACTGTAGTTAATTTCTTTCCATTACTCGAATTAGACCTTACGTGCATTCCCATAGAGAATTTTTTAGAAAATCTTTTCATATGTGTCTGTGTTTGCTTAGAACCGGATTGTTGTTTTTTAGCTGTATGGCATCTATTGTTCAATTGTATTTTTATGAAGAGATAATATATTTATATCTCACATGATATGAAAAGTAAGATAATCGAGGTGTCTTTATTTTTTATTATTAAATCCCTCTTGGTAGTTTTACTAAATAAGCATTGCAATATTACGTTTCGCAAAAAACTCAAGCATGGTTTGAAGTTCCGAGTTCCTAAAGAACCAGGAAATGTTAGTAAGCTTCCCATCATTTTTCTTGATGATCTAATTCATAGTTGGTGAAATGTCCGTGAAATCTCGATATGCTTTTCCCATCTTATATCTTCAAAGGGAGAAAATACATGCGTGCTTTGATTTCCTCATTTCTTCGGTTGATTGTGCTATTTCAGTTATGGAAACTAATAAATGCAATGTAGATTTGAACTTTTTGGTTTGATTTTGCTGTCGTAATCGATGTTGATTGGTGATTTGGGCTTTAACAACAATTCTCCAGTAAAGACAATGAATAATTATCGTCACGATATTTGTAAACACATACATTATGGCTAAACCTAATAAATTTCGACCTGCAACACTGTACTCCTTCACAACATGAAAAATGTATTTTTTAAAATGGTATTTGTAATTCCCGTTTTTTCTTTTTTAGCTTATTTTCTATGAGAAGGAAATTCTGGTGCTAAAAAAAAACTTTACGATCACAGAGGATCGCGAAAACAATAGAAATCGACACGATTGCCATCGAATTTCCCGTGCATTTTCCATGTCAAAACAATTCTGCATTATTTTTTGGCTTCTTTATTGAAGATAAGCAGCGTGTTTGTTTATCGTGGAAAATCGTGGATCATTCACCATGATTGTAACGATTATTATGAAATGCATAATAAGAATCACGTCTAGTTTGCAAATAGATTTTTATTTCGGAAAAACGAACAATTGAAGCAAGGTGATCTTCTGTATTTTTTACATGCAGCAACATGAATGAACATTGACAACAAATTAAAATCGAGAATTTTGCGCGCGTGCGTGTCTATTAAGAGTGGTAGTTGTCGATGTCACAGTATGTTACAGTATCATGGGATTAACGATAAATGGATGCATAAAATCACGAAATGAAATATGGCGAGATTCTCAATATTTAAAATATCGATGATTATATAATTAATGGGTATCTTTACGAAATGCTAATCTTTTTCCGCATTCATCCCAGTGAATAATATTAATATTTTGTCGATTATTGTAAACTAATTACCTAATATCAATTAGATGCAGAATTATTTCTCGAGTACCTACCTTCACGAGTCTATTAACTTTCTTTTATACATTATGTGATGTAAAGTTAATGGGCAAGTCCATGTACATATTTTCACCATTTTTGATTGGCTAGATACATTACTTAAGATATCATCAGATGATTGATTAATTATTGGATGCTTTTTTTGGGAGAGGATGCGAATGAATGATAGCGAATTAAACACGACATTTTTTTTATTGAATGACGAGGGTAACTTTTGAGGTCCACGTCAGTTGTGTTGCCATTTAATACTTGAGGAGATAGAAAATACTTTTTTATACATGTATCTCCGATTAAATTCTCGTTTTAGCAATCAGATATAGGGCAGCGTAAAAAAAAAAATAAACAACAAAATTCAAATAAAAAATAGTTTCTAATCGCTATCTTAATCGAAATCAGTCCTCACACACTGAATGAAATACCATGTTAGGTGGCAATTAATTAATTGATTGATGTTTCAGATCCTGTTATTCGACCTGCTTTCCCGCTCGCCCCCACTTTCTTCATTTGCGATGTCAATCCTTGACTGGTTGACTCGCAGATATTTAATGCGAAAAAACATAAAGTTTGTTTTTATTTTGGAGAAATAACGCCTTTTTTTCTCTTTATGAGAGTTAATGTTTTTGGTACATGTGTACACTTGAGTGTTTCTCTAATATGTACATGCGTGTATAACATAGTTTATATATTGCACTACATATAAAACTCAAGATCGCAAAGACAATTTATGTACAATTGTTGGCTAAAAATGCCAAACTATTCGAGAAATAGGCAAGATATTCGCATACATGTACATGTTACCCGTGCATACAGACCCCCTATTTTTTATTTGCATATTACAATAATTATAGTCGCACGTGTTTTTTTCAGTTCAATGCACTTAGGCAGTGAACAATGAGCAATTAAAATAAATATTTGGGAAGGGTCCAACAACATCGTTCATTGTTGATGCGTGTGACACGTTATCATGTGTCAAAATATGGTCATTGTTCACACATTATCTATCTTCCATCCGTTCACAAAATGGAGAGATTATGTCTTATAATGAATGTTATTTCGGAGTTAGTGGTGTTGCTATTTTTAAGAAAAATTGACATCTGGCAAGTCCATCAAATAGATTCAATTCAATTCAATCCCATTTGTTGTCTTGCTGCAGCTAATGCTTCAAATTTAAATGATTTATAATTTGAGTAAATGTATAAAAAAGAAAATCCAATCAATATTTTTGACAGCTAATCAAAATTGCCACTATGTTTTTGAAATAAGAAAGGAAATAAAGAGTTACGAAAACAAAGAGGGGGAGGGGGTGGGGAAGAACGACGGTTAGATCCGTACAGGAGAAAAAACAACAAGACAGCCATATAATAGTGCCACAAGATAAAATTAGCGAAGTATTTGGAGAGTACAGTAAATAATTAACTTTTTAACTTTTGGTATGGATTCGTTCGTGATAATACGCAAGATAAAAGACTGCTTTATTTGGCACTGATCCTCGATCGAATAATATTTTTCGTGTTTCTATGGCGTTGAATAACGCAATTAATAAAGAGAATAATCTTTCTATAGCATGTGATGACGATGATGAGATCAAATATGTAGTAACATCATTAAACCAAACGCCTTCATAAACCAATCGGTGTGCATGTTAATTTTTGGTCAAACCTTAACTTAACGGCGAAAAAATGAAGAAGCGAGTAACAAAAATTGGAAATCTTCATTGGAATCCCAAAATTTATTTAATTGGGCTGAGATAGGCTCTCCATTCAAGCAAGTATTTGACACTATGCAGAGAGATGAGTATGAAAAAATTTTGCACTATTTGATAATCCAAAATCGATTTCGTGTGCGATGTTTCAGCGGCGTATTACCCGAGAGTATGGCAATGCGGATAATATCCAAAGATGGATAAGATAATCTGTATTATATAATAATTATCAAACAAATAGTAAAAACTTGGAACAGAATATGTTAGTATTTCTAGGTTTTTAGGTTTGATTTTAGGTATTATTTTTTCCTTACTCCCAACCAGCATTAAGAAATATCCCGCGCTCTATTGGGAATATACTTCATCAATAACGTCTCGAAATGCGGGCTTTTTCCTTTTTTTCTAATTGCGCAATATTTATTTATGTCCATATTTAATATACGATATTGCGAAATCGAAATTAAAAATACCATTCACGCATATTCTTATTACGCACCACATAAACCGTCATCTTTATCGTTATCAGCTAATTTTTTTTGGTCAACAATAATAAATATCGATATGGGAAATTTCGCGATCCTATGGTGCATGCCATCTAATGTTTGTATTTTATAAAACGGATAAACTTCTTTACTAAGAAGTAAATACAAAATTTAATCCGTAAATATGCTCAGAAAGGGTCTATTCTATCATATTTACGGATTAAATTTTGTATTTACTTCTTAGTAAAGAAGTTTATCCGTTTTATAAAATACAATGTTTGATGATTTTAGATGGTATGCACCATAGCTCATTTCTTCTGTGATGACCATTACCGATAATTTTTTCTATATCATGTAAGGGGATGACGAAAATCTGTCAGAAAACTAATTAAAATCTATTGAACACTTGTAAAATATCACACATCACACAATAATAATTATAGCAATAACCATAAAAAAGTGGCAAGTACAAAAATAAATAAATAAAAAGTTTTTCTTAAAACGAGGCGTTAAGCATAAGCTATATACAAGTATGAAAATGCATAATCACGAAATGCATGAAGTAAATCCCACCTTGCTATTGTTTTTGTTATTCTCGCACTGTAAACAAAATTAACAGAGCGTAATTTTCTGGTGATTATTATCTTTTGTTGTTATTATTTTTTATCGTTGTCGATAAAATTCTTTGAATAATAAAAAATTAAAAACGTGAGCACAATATTTTGTCTCAAATTATGAATTTTGTGAACTTCCAAACTTGTATAGATTAACATAACTTTAAAACGCAAAGTTTTTATTTCATTCGCTAATGCTTTTCTTTTTGATATGCTTAATTATGAAAAATAATTCGCCATTTTACTACAAATTCTTAAGTGATAATATCCATTCATTTTGGACGCTGCAATGCATTAGTTGTTCCCTTTGCCTATTATTATTGTTATTGTTATTTCACACGTTACGAAATGAATTTTTCTAAAATTGTCGGTGAGGCAGTAGCGATAGTGATAGAGAAACATAATAATAAACATGTACACTTGGTGGTTAGTCGCATCTCAATCTTTCTTGAAAAGTGATCCGTGATCCATGCGATAAGACTGTAGCATTTACAAATAATCATGTACACGTGTGTGGCGTACATTTACAGGCGTTAGAATGCACCCAACCTTCTTTTATTTATTTATTTCATAAATCGGCGTATCCAATCTATTCATTTCATAAATCGGCGTATCAAATCTATTCATTCGATTTAGCTACAATAGGGACAACATAAGATATCCACTTTTAGATGGCATCATATCAAGTGTTATAACTTAAAGAGGAAAGATAATATAAAAAAATAATTTAACAAAATGATTAAGCTATCTATGATTTGGTTAATTTGTTTTTACTAATATTATATTATAAAAATAAAGAGTTCTGATTGGTCAGATGGATTATTATATATAAGATCTACAATTCAAAATTGGTATTATGGCGCAGTATTGGATATCCTCCACTATAACATTAAATTATCTGTATAATCTGTGGATACAAAAAACGCCACACGTTACTTTGTGAAATTAAATAAGGAAATTTTCGGTAACAAACATGCATAAAGTTCTATCAGCTTAACGTTAACAACCAGCTGTATTCCAGATTGACGCTATCTTTATTTACCAAGCGCACACAACCAACATAACTTTGTTAATTTTATAAAAGACAAAAATTCGTACATATTATTAACTAGGATTGGATCTAAAACTAGAATAGGTTTACAAAAGTAGAGTATTGGGATAGTGTGTAATGTGACTGACATAATATATACTTGTGAAAATATGTGTATCAACATTACACAACATACTTTTTCTGACATATCCTGTTGAGAGTTAAAAACTTGCATTGGCAAACAATTTTTGGGGGTTTATTTGTTGAACGAGAAATTTGTAATATCCATCTTTTTTAATTAATTAATTATCGATACTGTATACAATCATATTTGAGTTTATCGTGTACTCTTCTATACAACATCGATATTTGGTTTTAAGGAATGAAAGACATCTGGTTTTTTTCTCGATATGCCATTCAAATAATCAGGCTTACAATGTTTATTATTTCGGAATAACAAAGAACACTGTCTATAAGAAAATGTGTGTTGATATGTCATTTGTGTTTCTTTCTTATTGTGTGCATAAAACTATGTAAATGATCATATTTTTACGTATGTATCTGCTTCTGTTTCATAAAAGTTATCACGATCTCTCTTTTAAAATGCTGTGTTTGTTTTTGTTTCGGCTGCTGTTGGGTTTTTTTTTGCTTTTACTTCATTGAGAACATCAGTTCAAATGGCAAAATATTTTTCTTATGCATAGCAAAGGATCTATTAAAGAATCACTTATT